CCCCAAAACCCCAAAACCCCAAAACCCCAAAACCCCAAAACCCCGTAGGTGGTCACTAGGATTGAGCTAAATATTAACCAAATATTCTTAATTAGTAAAAGCATGTAAAGATGCATGTCACCGTTGTTCCAATCCCTGGTTTCGATTTCAACTGGATTCTGCCTCCCAGTTTCTCACACAGCATCTTGCAGATGGTCAGGCCGAGGCCAGTCCCAGTCTTGTTTCTGTTGTGGTTGGAGCTGGTCTTCCCAAACCTTTTGAATAAAGATGAAAGATCCTTCTTTGGAATGCCAAGGCCAGTGTCAGTCACAGTCAGTTCTAGCTTCAGCTCTTTGGTATAATCAGATACCATCGACTCATCTACTTCTTTTCGAATCTCTTCATTTCTCTTGTTTCTGGCTGAAGAATCTTGGAAGGCCCCATCAAACTTTGACGGGTTTGATGTGAATTCATAATTATTTGATGTGAGCAAAAGATTTCACACTGGCATTTCTTCGAACACGTCTGGAGAAAATATCTTTATTTCTTCACCTAAAAAATTAATTTGTTAATACTCGAATCTATTTGGTCCATGTAAAAATCTTCTGTTTCTTGGATTTTGATCTCGATGTTAATAGACCCTCTGTCTGTGAATTTAAGTGAGTTAGAAAGTAAGTTCAGTAGAATTTGTTTGATACGATCTTTATCAGCTTTAATTTTAAGTTCCTCAAAGACACTAGCAATTTCAAAGTTCAAATCCACTCCCTTCATTCTACACTGCATCTCGAAGATGGAGTTAACTTCATCAAAGAGTTGTTTGAATAAGAACTCTGATTCTTGGATTTCGAAGACCCCTGACTCTATCTTTGAGAAATCTAGGATATCCTCGACTAGCCCTTTGAGTATGTCTCAGAAAGAATTTGCTATTTGGTGATATTTAGATAAGTCTTCATAAATATAAGGCCTCATCAGGTGCAATGATAAAGACATCGCATTGAGAGGAGTCCTGAACTCATGTGACACATTGGAGAGCATCTGTCTTTGATAGTGACTTTGAGACTTGGCCTCCTCAAGCATAGTAATCTGGGTCGTGTCCATAAACATTTGGAGAAATGTTGGATTTTTATCACGATCATCCACGACATCTATTTTAGATGTTGTGACAACAAAGTCTCTATATATTTTCTCTATTTCTCTTCAAATACTCTTATTCTTATACGACATTGAGACTTTAGTGCTTCTGTCAAAGTCCTCCTCCCTCAGAGCTAGCTCTCGTTCGTCTTGGAGAAATTTCGACAATACAATTTCTTCATATTTTTCAACTTTGATGGCAGGGTCTTCTCCTTTGCCTTCTTCAACTTTATCTTTCTTGATTCTGACCACAAAGCTATTGAAAATGTCGTCCGTCAAAGTAAGAGAGTCTCTAGAAGCCAAAGAGTCTGCTAGTGTTCTTTCGTATATGTCTTCAAGCAACTTATCAATAGATTCTTTGGCCTCTGCTACATCCATATTATCACTTTTGGTCTTATAAAAGGAGGAAACATCGAAGGCCTGTTTGAGCTTTTTGTTAATGAATTTGAGGTTCTCCCCTCGTTCATCCATGATGATGACCCCTTCAGGCAAAACCTGTAGGACCTTCTTGAGCTGAGAAGTAGCCTGTTTGGCCTTATGAGTAGAAATGAACTCTTGTTTGAATGTTCTCGATAACAGAAAAGCATTACAACAGAATATGGTTAATGAAAATATAAGAATCTGGAGAACCCAAGGTTGCACTTGATTATAACCAATAATTTCACGATTTAAAAGTGTTGTTTCTCCTGAAGAATCAAGGAAGGGAATCTTGCGCATGACATATAAATGAATATAGACCAAAAATACAGCAGCTGAGGATACCTTCCAGTCTCAAGCAAGTCATGTCACTAGCAACAAGGATATAGAAATGATGAATCAGAATCCTTCAGGGTACCTATATTTAGGCTAGAAGTTCATAAAAATCAAATATGGATAAGTATAAGGAATTATTAGTAGAAAGCCCCTCTTCTGAGCCAGCGTAATGTTGGGAAATTATTAAGACATCTCTTCACATTATATTTAGTTTAATAGAAATAGATTTGAAGGGAGCCAAAGTTAGAAAGAAAGAACATTCTATGCATATTATTTTAAAGATACTGATAGATGCCTTACCTAAATTGAATAAACTGAAGATTGGCTATCGCCATCAGCACTCCAAAAAGAATGACCAAGAGTATAGCTCCATGTCTTGCCACAAAGTCGCTCTTTCTGATTAAATACTTGAGCCCATATATCACAAAGAACATCATGATTGGAATGAATTTATTTAGCAGGGATCCCTCTTCCTCGTTTAATTGGAACACGATTGAAGCAAGGAGGAACTTGATCTTCAGAATTAAGAGAATAAACTTCCAGTTGGCTCTAATCGTCTTGAGTCGATGCTCCTGGTACATCTTTTCAACCCGAGAGTCTTCAAAACGAATGGGATTGAAGATCCCATAGCTTTGGATCTCTTCAATAAACCAGTTATGGTGGAATTTATACCATCAAATAAATTTCCAGACTTTCTGGAGTCTACCTTTGAACATGTTGATTTATATTATATCTATCTTTGTCAATAACTATTATACATCCTGGGGTTTTGGGGTTTTGGGGTTTTGGGG